ATTTAGACTCCTACTGTATTTCAAAGTTATCTTTGAAGGATAAAAATGCATTTAATCTTCATGACCATTCATACTCACTCATATTCATTGTAGCTTAGAAATCAATTTTATTTTATAGGAGATGTTACTAGAAATGTGTCTGTCATGGTTAGATGAGCATTTTGAAAAGAAATAAAACTACTTAGAACAAGTAAGACTCCAGTTAGACTCCTACTGTATTTCAAAGTTATCTTTGAAGGATAAAAATGCATTTAATCTTCATGACCATTCATACTCACTCATATTCATTGTAGCTTAGAAATCAATTTTATTTTATAGGAGATGTTACTAGAAATGTGTCTGTCATGGTTAGATGAGCATTTTGAAAAGAAATAAAACTACTTAGAACAAGTAAGACTCCAGTATTGTGTTAGGATGCTAGAGGGTCAACTTCGTAGACTACTTAAGGATTCTGATGCAGGCCCATGATGACTATGCTACATAACTAAAGTAACCTCATCTATTTTTAACAGCCTCTTTTTATTATGACATTTAAAATATATTAATTTTGAGATTGTTCCCAATATGCTCAGTTAAGCTTTAACTTGCACATGTGTAACCTGTTCATATAAAATCTGTGAACAAACAAAATCAACCTGCCATAGATAGAGACCCTGGAATTTGTATGGTGGAAATATCATTTGCAGGATACATTTATGTTATGATTGAGATAAAAGGATGCACTCTTGAGTATTCAGAACACGCCATCAGTTCTGGGTTCTACAAAAATGGTGGCTGAGAAGAAACGATTTTCCTCTTTTCCTTAATTAAAGGAGGAATTTTTTTCTACATTTAGACTAATTCAGGTTATTTTTATTTTTCAGGTGTTTTTACAATATTTTTGTGATCCTTGTCTTATCAATATGATCCTATTTCAATTGTTCAATCAAATTCTTTAAAAAGTGATTAGAATTGCACCCTCTTCTCATCGAATGTACAACACAGTTTGAGGACAAAAGGCTCACAAATCCCGTATGAATACTTTAAAAAAAGCTTGTTTTGAAAAATTATTTAATAGTAACTGATTGTCAGTTTGAAAACCATAACACGATGGTGAAGGAAACCCCTCTTACAAAATGAAATTGGCGTAAGTGTTTCAAAATTGAAAAGGGAAAAACTGCAATTTTTGCAGCCAGTCATTGATGAACCAATTCAGGGACACACTTGATATTGAAGTTCTATATTTAAATAATTTATGAAGTATTGGTAGTTCATTTACAGATGCTGTCTTCAATGTTAGATCAGTTATTAGAGTTCAAAACCACATCAAGTGACTTATAAGCAGTGACAGTACTATCCAGAGATGACTTTATAAACATTTATAAACACATGCTGATTGTATTTGTAACGTCTAATATATTATTCAGTAATACTTTATAAAGCACCCCTTAATGTAGAGTATGACGACATTCAGTTTACAACTTTTCCCTAAAATAATATAAATACTTTTGCATATATTTATGAGGTACAGCACTGGCTTTAGACTTTAAGGACTAGTATATCACACATCTAGAATTCAAGAATACTTATGCAAATTTTTCAGTTTTGATTAGCATAGTTCTAAGGGAACTTACATTAAATCTAGTGCCAGTTTAAGCATCATTCTCTTAGGTTTCTGAAGAAAAAAAATCCCTGGAAGATCTGGTACTCAAAATAGACTTCAAGCAATTTCTTCCCTTAGACTGCACTACATTCTCCCAGGTTCCTTAGCATTGCTTTTATTTTGCAAGCAAATATTTTGAAGTTGACAATAGTCTGTTTTGTTAGTATCCAATATTTTCATTACAAAGCAACTTTAGAAATTATTTTGTAAGGATTTGATGAATTGAGGTGGAAGGTAGATTTATTTCTCTCTGTATATGGTAATTGGATTACATTGTTTAAAAAGACATAGCAAGCAAAAAAAAACCTCCCTGGGACTGAAATACTTTGTATGTGTTGTTATTTGCAGTGCATGCCAAGACATTCATGGGCACCAGAGCCAAGCTGGCGAGCTAATTAAATATATAAATGTATGTGTTTAAACAGCCTTATAAGGAGCATTGGAAATCTGCAAGATGAGCGAATATCTTATAACTTCTTCCGCAGGTGCGAGGATAGCTACAAGCCATGGACTTTCTGTCCTGCTTCTTATTTGTGGCTTTGTGAAGGGTGCTTTGCTTTAATCTAAAAGTGCTGACTTTTTCCAATATCACTTTCTCTTCTTAAAGCAAAGAGCAAATCGCCTGTAAAATCCACGGAGCGGACAGCAAAGTTGACCCTAACCTCCAACCACCACTCTGCACCCAATGTACTCTAATTCGCTACACATGGAGCACCTTCAGGAAGTACAAAAACAAAACAAACATATATATTGTTTAAACATATAAATATATATATGAAGAGGATACTACGTTTTCTTGATCTATATTATTTTCTTTGCTGTATCACTGATCATTTATTTAAAGAGAACTGGTGTGATGTCACAGGACATTTTGTAACAGCAGGACCTAGTTTCCTTTTCTTTCAGCAAATAGAAGTATCATATTTTTGACTGCTCAGGGGTTGGCTTGCAAGTCATCACTATTATAAAAAATCACTATGGATGATATTTCATTTCCTTCTTTGAAAGGACTGTTGAAGGCAAGAGGCAAGCAGCAGCTAATTATATATACATAGATAAAAAACAACAAAAAAATCTCAAGAAAACAAAATGACTCAGCATCACGTCTGGCAAAAACACCTCAGAAACTGATTGAAAGCCTATTTTTGTTTGTGCGGGAGAGTGCAAAATGAAAATAACAACATTGTAAAACAACTAACAGAACTAGAGGACGTTGTTTCTGAAGACAAGCAAGAATTATTACTGAGGATTTTTTAATTTTACTTTTTTGAAAATTTTCCACTTTTTTTCACCCCCTTCCTTTTCCTTTTCCTTTTCCTTTTTTTTCTTGGTTTGTTTCTTGTTCAATGGTGGCAGTTGCTGACTTAGGCCAACCCCTTTTGACTGTGTGGTGGTTATATAAATACATTTTTTTTGTGTGTGTTCTATCTTTCAATGTGTTTTCTCTAATTTTGCAACTCCTGTATATGCAAAACTAACTTCAATTCTGTAAATTGCTTAGAGTATGTGTGATATAACATCACAGTAGACATACCATGGTCCTCATGCAAGACAGTTTTTAATATTATCTATATGTCGTACCACCAACAGACATTTTTGTTTCCTTTTTTGATGATGCATTATTTTTTAATTTGTAACTCAGTACTGTGTGGATTTTGTAATACATGCATTCACTTCCACTCGTTTGACCCCTCGCAGATGGCAGTGCAGCCCTCTGTTTACTCTGTAAAATGCACATTAAAATTTGTTATGGTCTCTGAACAATGAATTATTTTACTTGTCTGTATGCTATTTTGGAATCTGGTGGCTGAAAGCCCTTTTAATTTATTATGTTTATTGGGAATGAAGTGATTTTATCATCATGGAATGTAAAGTATAAGTCTGCAGGCAAATACTGCATGCAAGCAAGGTCAAGCAAAAAAAATAGAATGTGTTCTTGGAAGATTTTATTTTAGTGATGAGTTTTAGTCAAGTAATTTCCTACAATGAATCATTCAAGAATTCTTCTTGCAATAGCTAAAATGGTATCTTCATTCTTTCCGTAGGTGGCTAGCCATTGTTCATTCATATTCAATTATATTTCTGTATGCCTACAAAATGAAAATATTGCTGTTGATTTGAAGTAATATTCATAATGTGAATTAATATATTAATGAAGAAAGGAAAAACCACAAATATTTGTTAATGGAATCAGTTAGGTAGCTTTCAGTGTCCATTCTTCTTTTCTTCCCACTTGAATAATCCAAATCCTTCCTGCTGTTTCATGTACTAACACAGTGAAACATGCGTGTAACACTTCAAATGGTTCTGTGACCTACTTATTAGAGGACTCTCTGATATAAGACTGGCCCCTAAGCATAATATTTTCTCCTTATAGCTAGGAAAAATTAGCTTAGCCACATTTAATGTCCTATGAGTATAACACCTTTATATTAAAGTTTAAAAGGCCCACAAAAGTCGCTGTCTTTCCCTCCTAATGTCAATAACAAATCTCTCATTAATTTTCATGGGAGTAAGATCAAATCATATACTTCTGGGATAAAAGAGTTATGCATTAGTGATTTGTGTCTGGATAATGTAAAGGTGCAATCTTCTTTGGACTGTTCACAGATTCATTTCTAGTAACTTCACTTTGAAGATTCACAAGAGTAAATCAAGTGCAATATGGATCACAATTTACTTGGAAAAAATCCAATGCATTCCTTATACATCCTAATATTAGGCTCTTTGACCGCCAGTGCACACTGAGGGAAGATATTTACTGAGCTAGCCATGTGATAGTCTGATCTTTTTTCAGCGCAGTTACAGTTAACTTGGAACACAAAATATACAATTAGTAGTTCAATTCATCCCTTTTTACCTACATTACTTTGCCTTTGTCAGCAGTGAATTTCACCTCATATTATACTAGCTACTAGTTAGGTCCTTTGGAAATTCCAGTATTCTCTTGCCTTGGCTAGTGTTGGCTAGAGAACAACTCAAGGATTTTTGTTTCTGTTTTTAAATAAGATTTAAAAATTTGATTTTTTTGTTTCTTTGTTCTGAATTGGAATGACACTGAAACCCTTCAAAGATTGAGAAAGAGGAAGAGCCAAATGGCTTGAGCACTCCCCTAGTGCAACTCCAGTTCAAGTCCTCACTTTGCCTCATTCCTTAGACTATTGGCTCCTCTGGGATCAGTTTCTCTTTGCTTCTCATCAGAAATTCCATCTGGAATCTAAAGAGTGTCACCAATCCAATGCACTTCCTCAAATTTTCAATTTGGACCAATCAACATACTCCTACAAAAATCATATCACCTAAAAAGAAATCCTGACCATCTTAGTTATGACCAACCTAAATAATTTTGTCCCATCTACACATTTTGCTTCCTTTTACAGGCAGTCCCCGGGTTACGTACAAGATAGGGACTATAGGTTTGTTCTTAAGTTGAATTTGTATGCAAGTCAGAACTGGCTCCAGATTCAGCCTCTGCTGCTGAAACTGACCAGGGGCTGACTACAGGAAGCTGGAGGCAGAATTGCTCTGCCCCCAGCTTCCTGGAATCAGCCACTGATCATTTTCAACAGCGGCTGAATCTCGAGCCTGGGACAGAACAGCTGGGCTGCCAGGTAGGTCCCTGCAGGACCAACCTGGCAGCACCCCAGCTGCTCTACCCCAGGGTCCACAACAAAAGCCTGGTCTGCTGGGGGGGGTGCACTAGCTGCGCCCCCCCCCCCAGCAGACCAGGGACAAGACACGGAGCAGCTTTTCTCGCTGCGGAGGAGGCGGGCGGGGGGACCGTGGCGCGGCTGGGCGGGCATGCCGGCC